CTAGATCTCAACCGCTGGTTCAACCGCTCCCGCTGAGTTTTTTTCTCCAAAGTATATATCATTCCCTTAATGACGATATTAAACTTAAATTTTTACTTTTAATGTTTATAGATATATAACAATTTGTCCAAAGAAGAAATAAGTTTACAGCTGGCGTGGAAACCAATGATTGTGGCGAAATATGAATAAAGGAATTGAGTCTGTGCCACAAACTCAGATTTTCTAATCGTCGTATATATCGTAAATCTTTGATATTTTATACTATGAATTCTGTTAAATCAAATAAACAAAGTTTGAAATGTCAAAGGTTTACGCCATGAAATTGCAAAGATATAGGGATTCGAAAATTTAAGTTTGTGACAAAGACCCAATCCGTTTGAAGAGCCTCTGAAGTTTCATCCTTTGTGAACAATTTCTGTAATCCTATGTATTGTACAGTGTACATTTGTTCATGTATTGTACAGTGTACATGTTTATTAATTCACAGTGTACATATTCATGTATTTTACAGTGTACATTTCCATGTATTGTAAAGTGAACATGCTCATGTATTGTACAGTGTACATATTCATGTATAGTACAGTGTACATGTTTATGTATTGTGCAGTGTACATGTTCATGTATTGTACAGTGTACATGTTCATGTATTGTGCAGTGTACATGTTCATGTATTGTACTGTGTATATGTTCATGTATTGTACAGTGTACATGTTCATGTATTGTACAATGTACATCTTCATGTATTGTGCAGTGTTCTTGTTCATATATAGTACAGTGTTCATGTTCATGTATTGTACAGTGTACATGTTCATGTAATGTACAATGTACATGTTCATGTATTTTGTAGTGAATATGTTCATGTATTGTACATGTTCATGTATTGTACAGTGTTCATGTTCAGTGACAGCGTTTACCGATACAACTACACGGTTTCAGCTTGAAGTACCGTACACGGAAAATATAGCAGATTCAAATATTCCGACCATGGCTAAATTAGGTAATATTAGTATCCAACCCTGCGTTTTATGTATTTCTAACGCTCTTGCTGAAAAACGAGGATTGTGTACTGATGTGGGAACTATTGTTCAGTGGATATCGAGATCAGTGCATGATCTCAATCTTTTGTTAATCAGCAGATTAATTCAATCTTTATTCTATGTGATAATTGCACCCTGGAGGCCAACTGAAATGATCAGATTTAGCATTAATCTCAAATTAAAAGTGCCCTCAGTGGATATCGAGATCGGGCGATCGGTATTCTAATCACACGAGCCTAAAAGAGCCCAAAATTTAGGATAAAAAATAATTGTACATAAAAATATTTTTTGGGTCAAAATATTGTTTCATAAAGGCGTGAATTCCACAATACTTTTTATTAAGGAATCTTTAAATTTTTAATATACATTTTAAATTTTTTACCGGTTTTTGGCCCCTTTTGGTTATATTGTTATAATGATTTGCATACTTTTTTTAAAAAGTTTTATTAAAAAAGATCTGGGAACGTTTTTAAGTTCACCTCCCCCTAACCTTTCCAAGATTTTATGTTAAGTTTTATTCTAATCATTTTTTTGTCTTCCTTTAGATGGAGACAAACTTTTAAGGTTTCGAAGCCCCTCGACTGATTCAGGAATAGAAAAAGTAATTTTCAATATTTTTTTTATATATCGAGTTTTTTTCATCGAAAGCTAAAAATAAAAAGGTTGACGTGATATTCTTGATGATCCTTTGCTGGTGCTGATAATAACATTGATGATAAAATTTACTTTAATAAAAACAAATAATAATAATAATAATAAAATTGATAATAATAATAATAATAATAATAATAATAATAATAATAATAATTATGTTAAATTATAATTAATTATTTTATTAAGGAGATTAACGAGGTTCGTGAATACCCTGAAAATGGAAACAAAATGGTGTTGACCTTAACTATTCCAGATAAACCAGAAGTCTGGACTAAACGAATTTTTAAACGAATTGAAAACTAATTTTATTCAACTTTAAGGATTTTTTGTGATTATTTTCGTGGATTTACTGAAATTTTCCGATATTTTCAAATCAGAAAGTTTTAGATAGAGATAAGTTAAAATATGTATCTTGATACTAACAGATATACGATACCCACTAAGAATGAGACGTTCAAACAAACGCCAGGCAATATAATTCTGCTGATAGTAATTTGAGTAAAATTCCCAGTTTAAAGCATCCCATTAAAGAAAGAAAACAAATTTCATCAAATTTTGTATTGACGTCTCTGAATACTTGTTCTTTGAGGGTAAACTCTGTATTAGGTCAATTACATAACTTAACAAGGTTGAGTTAAAAGGATTGTCTTTTGTGATTTCCAATGAAACTCCATTTAAAGAGGGAAGTGCCAGATTCTCAAGAATACCTTTAAATAAAGCAGTTAAAAAAGATTCTACTTTGTTTTACAGTGCAGCAGAAAATTCTTGAGCATATATAGCTTTTAATTGGTACTGTTGTGAATCTGAAACTCTATATGAGGAGGATCTATTGAAATTACGTATACAGGCGGAACTGATTACCGTACCAAAAGTATTATTTTTTTAAATTTTTGATTAAATGTTAATCTTGTTTTATGAAATATATTTATGGCTCTGACATATGCAAGTTTACTTATAGTATGATGATAATTCAAGCTCAAGTTGGATTGTTTGTAGCAAGTAACTAAAAAAAATGACATAAGAGGATGTTTGATTTTTGAAAATATTAGAAAAAGGGACCGTGTACATTTTGAGAACATATTGAAGTTGTTAAAACGGTATTTTAGAGCAAAATGGTTCACCAACGAGCCCCCCCCCCCTCAATTTTGATTATTTAACAAAATTTTGGTAAAAGAAACGACGTTTCGTGGGTGAAAACTAATTAATATCTTTGGAAATGGGACCGAGCACATTTATTTCATTGACAACCTCCTCCAGTTCTATATTTCTGAGGTTGTTACCTACTTGGAGAACTTTTTAACACAATAGAACGATGTTTAGTAGACTAAAGGCGTGAGAACATACTTCAAGAAGTCATTGCTCTTAAAAAATGTCTATGGTATATGGATATACAATGGTAAAACGTTAAATTTAGAAAAAAGAAGCGATTTTTTAACCTTTTGTATTTTATCTCATTATTCAAAAGGCCATTCATATAACATTTCTTAATGTGTTATATTATGCATTTTTTTAACCAAATATGATTTGAATATAATTAATAAACATTGTTTATTTTAAACAAAAATTTAACAGTAAAAAAGTATAAAACATTTGCACTATCTACACGTTTACATAATAATAAAAACTATTTAATGAAAATATAAGAAATCATAAAAGTAATTATAAAAAATGAGTTACTGGGAATTTTTTTCATTTTAAATTAAGTTTTAAAAAGTAAAGAGAATCTTTAAAAAATCAGTTCTCTGTTACTTTTTTCGATAATAATTAACAATTCTTTTGTCATCTTTTATACTCAGAATTTCAGAAATCTTCAATAGACCAAAGAATATAAAGATTTTTAACAAAGAAAATTTAAAAACTTTAATGATCCAATTTTTTGCACTCACTTCCATATTCTTTAAGTCTTGGAGGAGAAAAAAACTAAAGAATTATATAAAGAGTAAAAAGCACAAAAAGTAAAAATTAGGCTGAAATAAAGATTATTCATTGAATAATTATCTTTAGTCTAAATTCAGAGATATGGGAGCACGATGCACACAGTACACTGCAAAGTGTTCACGTACTGCACAGTTGCACACTGTACTTAATGGGCAGTTGCCGCAAATTATGCTGACTAGTTTACAGGTTGTTATTATTTTATATATTATTTTGGCGATCAGTTTACTGTCTTGATTTTCTGGAGCTTCTTGTTTGCTGTCCTCGGCGTTTTTTACTTTCATCCTCATCCTTTTCTCCCTTCTTTTCCTTCGGCTCTTCTCCTTTCTTCTTCTTCTCTTCTTCTTCTTTCTTCTCATTCGCTTCTTCTACATGTTCCTTCTTTGGTTTGACATCAACTTCTTTAATAATTTCATCCCGTTTGCTCAAAATATCTAAACCTATAAAATTTATAATAAAAAATATCCAAAAGCCAAGTATACAGTGGTCATTAGAAATAAGCGGAATAATTGTAGTCTTGTTATGCCTTTTTAATTCATAATTCAGTTTAAGATTTTCTATTTTTTAGATCATAGAGATTATAGAGATAAAGATATAGGTAGAGAGAAGTAAGCCACAGGGTGTCTAAAAAAACCTCAGCGAGAACCTCAATTTGGGACATTTTTAATATCATAACATTTTATTATTGTGATACAAATTTATAACATTTTATACGTTTTTGGAAAGCCCTTGGGCTCTACTTCAATGATCTGCAACAGAATGTCCAATTTGCATTTAAATATAAATTTAGTCTGGTATAGGTAAAATAATGCATTTATGCTGTTGAGACACAATTTTTTTAATCTTTTTTTACCTTTGTTTAAGTCTGAATCAGAATAATCAGTGAAAATTGGATCTAACTCACCAACAACGCTCTGAATCTAAAGTTTTATAATAGAAGTATATATTAAAAGAAATGTTTTACGTAATTTTAGATAAAATTTTACTGAAAAGTTTGATCATGGTTACATATTCATTCATTTAAAGATTAACAATAGTAATAATTATTTAACTAATAAAAAGGAATTGGGATTTTGCCACAAACTTAAATATTCTATTCCCTACATCTTTCCAACCTAATGGTGTTTACCTTTTATATTTCACATTAAAAAGGTAAAATAGATTTCTTTAAAGTTAAAAGTTTAAAAACAGTTTGCGTGAAAACCTTTTAAAGTATTTTTTCGAGGGTATTTGGTTTTGTTTAAAAATTATTTATAATTATGTGTTTTCAAAAGAATTAACCTGTGAATTTTGTTCCTCGGCCTCCTGAGTTATTCTTCGAACCTAGAAGAACGAGAATCCTTTATATACATTCAAAGGAACTGTCTGTAACCGTAATTTCAAGTAACCTTCCATTTATAGAGTGGAATGTCCGATTTACAACAATATCCTTTAAACCTTTGCTTGATCAAGGATTTTGTAAGTGTTCTTATTTATACAGCGGAAAATTAAGTGCTAAGAAAGCGCGCGAGTGTACACTAGCACGGAGTGTACAGTGTACTCCGTAACCCAAGTCTCCTCTACCTCTTCCGGCACTCAATCTTCAGCTGGTATACAAAAGGGTGTATCTACCTCATCATTGTCCGATTAAAGGTTTATATGGTACCATTCTGAATCGGACATAACTTTCTAGAGATTGAAAGTCCCTGTAATCATAAATTGGCTGTCAACATTATTCTAAAGGAAATGAGTTTTTGCCACCAGAATATTTCATTGATTTTTTATGTGAAAGATGGATCCCATGTCAGGCTTAGGCATCCGTCTTGTAATGTCATGTAAACACTACCGCCCAGAGACAATACATTGCAGTACAAAAGATGCATACACCTCTGAAATACCTTTCCTTGCATTATAGCCTTGTTTATGTCAGTGTAATGGGTATTATTAAGTGCGAAAATTTTTTTTGCCGGGTGTGAATAAAACATTTTCATTAGAGGACCTATATTCTCTAAGTTATGATGTTAAGGAAAACTAAATTAGATATTTACTTTCTTAGAAAATATAAATCTTCATAATTACCTGTCTATCAAAGTCTATATTTTCTTCTTGATCGAATAGGCACCATTTCTTGTGTAGGGTTGGCTGGGCAGGAACTGGTATTTCTACAGTTGTACATACAGTTTCAGGTACCTAGGCGGTACAGTACAATTAGAAGGTGATAAAACTGGGATTTCTACAGTTGTACATACAGTTTCAGGTACCTAGNAAGGTGATAAATTGGTATTTCTGCAGTTAGACATACAGTTTCAAGTACCTAGGTGGTACAGTACAATTAGTAGGCGACACATTGATATTCTACACTTGTACATACGGTTTTAGGTACCTAGACGGTACAGTACAATTAGTTAAAAGTTGGTAATCCATTGGTTGTAAAATTGGTAGTTTTACAATTGCATATCAACTGTTATATTTGAGCACAATCAAGGTACTGTTTAGAGGCTGTATATATACACATACATACATACATACGATTACGAATATATGTATATAAGCGAAGAGCTTTATTATATAGATGTATTCTGTATATATAAAGTAGTAATCTCGGTTTGCTTGTTAGTACTTAGTAGAACAACGGGCATGTTTTAAGTTTGGTTTAGAATTATATGTCCAGTGAGTGAGTAAATTGACTGTTATAGAGAAAGTTTATTTTCTGGGCAAAGGGTCCCAAGCTAAAGTATTTATATAATATCTTCAATATGTAATATTTATCTAAATCTATGTATTTGTAATTTTAATAGTCTTGTTGATAATTTAATAAAGCTAACCTATTCGCATCTAGTGTAGGTAACCGTATTACATTTAGTTGTTGTTATTGGAGAACAAACGGGAACCTTATCAACCTGTAGAAAATTAAAAGTAAATGTAAAAAAATATTAACAAACTATATAATAATAATAATAAATAGGAATAGATATGAGTAATAATTAATTGATAATTGATAATAATAATGGTATTCGTCTAATCTTTTCTACAGCTGGACAAATTATCCATTATAAGAGGAAGGCGACTTTACTGGATTGGAAAAGTCCAATGAATATAAATCACAAAAATCATGCAGTTTATTTGCAAGCTACAATTAAAACGAATTTTCTTTATTAACACTATCACGAATCACGATATTGGGGAGAGAGGGGGGGCTGTTTTCCACACACACCCCCCCTCTTTGTATGCAAATATAAAAGGAAAAATGGATTTAAAATAACATCCACCCTAACAGTTAAAGTTAGAGGTATAGTTTTGTAATAACCTTTTCTTTTGGACTAGGGGGCCATGTATCACACTCCACTGTCTTAACTCTAAGGGAAAAATCACAGAAGAACCCCTCCCCCATCAATTTTAAACCAAAAAAGTCAAATCTGGTTAGATTTGAGACATAAAATACACATAAGATTATTTAAATGTCGTCTTCCTTTTCACCAGTTGTATTGGTCCAATTGTATTACCTGGCATTCTAGGGTATCTGCCATCACGAGTGTTGTAATATTCTCATAATCAAAATATGATATAGGGATATCTGTACACGTCATCTGAGCCACTGACATAGGAACCTAAATATGATATAGGGATATCTATACACGTCATCTGAACCACTGACATAGGAACCTAAATATGATATAGGAATATCTGTACAAGTCATCTGAGCAACTGACATAGGAACCATAATATGAAATAGGGATATCTGTACACGTCATCTGAGCCACTGACATAGGAACCTAAATATGAAATAGGGATATATGTACACGTCATCTGAGCCACTGACATAGGAACCTAATTATGATATAGGGATATCTGTACAAGTCATCTGAGCCACTGACATAGGAACCTAAATATGACATAGGGATATCTGTACGCGTCATCTGAGCCACTGACATAGGAACCTAAATATGAAATAGGGATATCTATACACGTCATCTGAGCCATTGACATAGGAACCAAATATGAAGGGATTTCTGTACACGTCATCTGAACCACTGATATAGGAACCTAGATATGAGATAGGGATATCTGTACACGTCATCTGAGCCACTGATATAGGAACCTTAATATGATATTGGGATATCTGTACACGTCATCTGAGCCACTGACATAGGAACCTTAATGAATGATAATTCTGACATCTAGGCTTTAAAATCGTTCTTAAAAACGAACGAAAAAACGATCGCTTCGTTTTGATTTTTGAAAACTAACAACACTATGACAGAACAATTTCATTTCCATCTGCTAGAAAATTATCAAGAAACAATGTCGTTCACAAAAGTAAATCGTCAACGATAGTTAACAAAACTTCTGTCTTTAATGCTGGTTAATTCCTACCTTAGGATGACAGAAATATTCTTGTTTTTCCAACAAAAAATAAATGATTTATAATAGTGGTTTTCTAAAGTGAATTTGAGCTGCAGAGACAATGGAAGAAAAACTCTAAATGCCACTTTAAAATCAATTAAACAAATAACTATCTTTAGATCTTTGCCATGACTCGAAAATGGGCCCAAATCTGAAACCGTGTTCGAAAATTCACAAATTCATCTTTAAAAAAATCTGGAAAATTTTGATATTTCATCAAAATGTAAAATGTCCTGAATTGTAGAAATTATTATTTTTCTATTAAGAATATAAATTGTAGAATGGAAAATCCCAACAAATAATTCCGATGATGACAGTTGTTATTATATTTCACTAAACAGGAAAATAGGTAAGTAATTAAACTTATAATTATAATTATTATTATACTGATGCTTTCTTGACAGGAATAATATTATTTTCATATATTAGGCTAGAGATAAAAGATAAAATAAACAGTTTTAGAAAAGAAGATGAATCAAAATTTAATTATATTTAATTTCTACTTCTATTTTCATCTTCTATTTTTATTTTCAACTGTGGCTTTATCTTTGAGTATCTTCCCTTTGTACAATATAAAACAAATGGAAAAAGTTCGCGGATTTAATAATATTTTTTCGCGCATTTTAAAAATTTTACAAATCATTTGGTCATCCATAAACCTTCCCTAGGGTCGTGTAAGGTCCCACACGAATGTTGGCCCGATTGGTTCGGCTGTTTTGATGATTTTTGGACACAAACGAACAAATGGTCAGACAAATAAGCAAAGTATGTATATAGATATCATGGTTTAATAAAAAAGTGTATCGTACAGTTTTTTGGGGGAATAAAATAACACTTCTTTGTTTAATCTCCTTCTAGGAATGCAGTACGGATATTTGTAAACAAAGACATGTTTGTTCCAGAAGTATATTTTTGGACTTTCTCCAAAATTTCAAAATTTAGGTTGATTTTAATCCAAATTGAAATAATCTTGAAAACACACTTTATAATCTTGGTAGGAATATGACTAATGATTGTGAAATATGAAGCTTAAATAATATTTTTTGTTTATGGGTGGGGTGGGGGGGGGTTAAACATAAACTTATCATTTAATAGTAAAATTGGTATAGTTTGCCGACACTACTAAAGAGAAAATGAAAGAGATTTAACAAGTTTCCAGCTGCCTCCACAGCACCCCACAAGTATATTTATTTCTCTTTTTTCCTCGCCATTTTTTTTGTTACATAAAATATACAAAATGGAGTTTTATTGTATAAGATATCATAATTGCGCAGTAACTTCAAGAAAATTCTAGAAAAAACATCTGGTCATGAGAAACTAATTAAACCTTTGAAAGTACAGAGCCTAGACCTACGAGTCATGAATGACTATGAGTACATTAATAAAATCTATGAGAGTACATGTCTTACTTAAACCTGTTAGAGTACATGAATTAATTGAACCTATAAGAGCACAGGACCAACACCTATGAGTACATGAATAAAATCTATGAGAGTACATGTCTTACTTAAGCCTGTTAGAGTACATGAATTTATTGAACCTATAAGAGTACATGTATTTATAAGACCTATAAAAGTTCAGGAAATATTTAAACCTAAAAACCTAAAAGAGTACAGTAAATAAGAGTGGAGGGACTAGACCTATAAGAGTAAAGGGACTAGATCTTTAGGAGTAAAGGGACTAGATCTTTAAGAGTAAAGGGACTAGCCCTATGAAAGTAACGGGACTATACCTATGCCAGTAATGGGACTAGACCTTTAGGAGTAAAGGGACTAGATCTTTAAGAGTGAAGGGACTAGATCTATAGTAGTAAAGAGACTAGACCTATAGCAGTAAAGGGACTAGACCTATAGTAATAGAGAGAATAGACCGATAGGAGTAAAGAGACTAGACCTATAGGAGTAAAGGGACTAGACCTATAGTAGTAAAGAGACTAGACCTATAGGAGTAAAGAAACTAGACCTACAGGAGTAAAGGGACTAGACCTATAGTAGTTAATGGACTAGACGTATATGAGTTAAGGGACTAGACCTACAGGAGTAAAGAGACTAGACCTATAGTAGTAAATGGACTAGACCTATATGAGTAAAGAGACTAGATCTACAGGAGTAAAGAGACTAGACCTATAGTAGTAAATGGACTAGACCTATAGGAGTAAAGAGACTAAACCTATAAGAGTAAAGGGACTAGACCTATAGGAGAAACGGGACTAGACCACTATATGAGTAAAGGGACTAGACCTATTTGAGTTAAGGGACTAGACCTATAGGAGTAAAGGGACTAGACCTGTTTGCTGACAGGGAAGCATTCCTCCCAGGTAACATCTCTACAATCGTCTTCATTTCCAGCCCAGACCTAGATAGCTCAAGAGAGTTCAAAGGAATCATTTACAAAAATAATACCATTTTAAAAAATCTTTCCAGTTTGTTTGGTGACATTCCTTCCAGTTTGTTTGTTTACATTCCTTCAAGTTTGTTTGTTTGAATTCCTTCCGGTTTTTTGTTTACATTCCTTTTAATTTGGTTGTTTACATTCCTTCAAGTTTGCTTGTTTTCATTCCTTCCAATGTGTTTGGGTGTTCACATTCCTTCAAGTTTGTTTGCTTACATTCCTTCAAGTTCGTTTGTTTACATTCCTTATAGTTTGTTTGTTTACATTCCTTCAAGTTTGTTTGTTTATATTCCTTCCAGTTTGTTTGTTTTCATTCCTTCAAGTTTGTTTGTTTACATTCCTTTCAGTTTGTTTGTTTACATTCCTTATAGTTTGTTTGTTTACATTCCTTCAAGTTTGGGTGTTCACATTCCTTCAAGTTTGTTTGTTTACTTTCATTCAAGTTTGTTTGTTTACATTCCTTCAAGTTTGTTTGTTTACCTTTTGCCCATTATCATCTACAGTCCACAATGTTGTACAATGGACCTTCGTAACATTCTTGCAATCATAAATAGTCTACAGTACACAACAATATAAACAAGCAGTACACAACAATAGACACAAGCAGTACACTACACGCAAGCTTACGAGCAGTACACCTCAATAAGCGGGGGGAAAAAATTAAATGGAAAGCTTTTTCATAACATTTTCTAAAATCTATGAATCTAAAATTGTGTCTTCCTTTCTTAGGATTCTGATAACATTTAGTTTTAACCTTTTGATGTTTTAAATATGAACCTTTTTTTAACCACTAAGGAATGGATTAAATTTTATGTCGATCTTGAATATCATTTGCTTTAACTTTATAGTTTAAGATATCTGGATTAAATAAATTCTTTTTAATCCTTTTTTCTAAAATCTTTAAAATTATTGTTTTTCCTTGTTATGAAATTCTCGGACCATCTCCTTTGTACAATTCTTCAGATTTTCTTCCTTGATGCTCATAACACTTTCCAGTTTCTCCTACAGTTATAGAGTAATCATCAACCATAGAGTAATTATTAGCTATAGATTGATTATTAACCTTAGAGTAATCATTAACATAGACTAATCGTTAACCATCGAGTAATCATTAATCATAGAGTAATTATTAGCTATAGAGTGATCATAAACCATATAGTAATCATTTAGAATAGAATAATCATTAACCAACGAGTAATCATTAACCATAGAGTAGTAAATTAACTATAAAGTAATCATTAATCTTAGAGTAATCATTAACCATAAAGTATGCATTAACCATATAGTAATCATTAACCAACGAGTAATCCTTAACCATAGAGTAAGCATTAATCATAGAGGAATCATTAACCATAGAGCAATCATTAACCATAGAGCAATCATTAAACATAGAGTAATCATTTACAATATAATAATCATTAACCCTATTCCCGCTGGGGGGGGGGTCAATTTGACCCCCCTGTAGTTTTTTTTACATAACTCAAAAAGTATTGGTCTGAGGCTGTTGACTTTTCTTACATACCCATAGCCCTCCCTTTAGGCCTAAAACCGGGCTTTAATACTAACTGCCTGAGTCCTCAGGCACACTGCCTGAATGACTGCTTTTGCCTGTAGCAAACTAAATCTTTGTTTTGACCCACTTTCACTTGTCAGATTTTGATAAAATTTAGCTTTTTGAAAAGCCTATGACATAAGGAAACGGATTGCCCAAGTTTTGCGAAAAAAAAATTGCAAATTTTTTGCAAACAACCTGTCAAAGAAAATTTGCACATTTTTAGTTTTTCTTGATTAAAAATCAGGTTATTTAAAATTTTGCAAAACTTTTTGCATATTTGAAATGGCATGGTCAAGGGCTTTTCAAAAATGTATAATTTGTCATTTTTTGGACAAATTTTTTTTTGCAAACATTTTTACTATAAAACTGGATTTTGCGATAAAAAATTCAATTTTCGCAAATTTGCAAATTTTTTTGCAGATTCTAAAAGTAGAGCACAAGAGCTTTCTAATGATGTATCATTTTTCATATTTGGACATAAAACATGGGATTTAGAGGGGGGGGTCAAATTGACCCCCCCCCCTAGCGTATCCTGGTTTTCAAGTACCCCAGCGGGGATAGGGTTAACCATAGAGTAATCATGAACAATAGAATATGCAAATTTGTTTTAAAGACTCCTTTCAGAAATATGGAATACGCATAAAGAATTTATCTAGATTAATTCCCACTCACCCGTTGATTTTTGTGAACGTTTCCTTTAAGTTAGTACTTTCTTAAAATATAATATATAGGAAGCAGAAATTGATTTAAGATGATCCAGCTACAAGTGTTTATTATTATACCTTATCTTCTTAATTATACTCTGAGATAATTATCTTCAATTATGAAAGATTTATTTTTACTACGCAGCAAACCAAGAGCAAAGACGCAGATTCATTTATAGAACAAGATTTCTACAACACAAGCAAAGAGCAAACGGGCAAATTCACACAAATAGAAAGTTTTTTTACACAGCAAGCCTAGAGCAACCAAGATTCATTCAAGATCAAAGAGCAAGATTGCTACAGCACAAGCAAAGAGCGAACGTGCAAATTCACACAAAAAGAAAGATTTTTTTACGCAGCAAGCCAAGAGCAACCAAGATTCATTCAAAATCAAAGAGCAATGCTACAGCATTAGCAAAGAGCGAACGTGCAAATTCAGACAAACAAAAAGTGTTTTTACCCAGCAAGCCAAGAGCAACCAAGATTCATTCAAAGAACAAGATCTCTACAGCACAAGCAAAGAGCGAACGTGCAAATTCACACAAAAAGAAAGTTTTTTTACACAGTAAGCCAAGAGCAACCAAGATTCTTTCAAAGAGCAGGTATTCTGATCATTGCAGGGCAAGAGCACCGATGAAAACTAGCTGAAAGAGCAAGATCTTGCAAAAATTATAAAATACATTTGATGGAGAGAGTTCGAATTTATTTAAAGTAAATCATTTAAAAATTCCAGCTGTTGAGGACAAAACGACCTTGGAAAAAATCAAAACGTAAAACATGATTCATACAACTTTTTTCCACGCTTTTTAATAGAAGAAAAAGCAAAATAGGACCAAACCAAAACTTACTGTTTTTTTCTATCTATTTTTTATCCAAAAATAATTCATTTAGGTTCGCAAAAAAATTTTTTTTACAATCGCTTAAAAATACTTTTTTTTCTTTGAAACTTATTGATTTTTTAAAAAATTATTTTTTTTAATAAAAAGTATAATTAATAGTGGACATTTATTTTATTTTAAATAATTCAAAAAAAATCAGGACTGAACTCGATATCCAGTGTGAATTTTAAAATAGGCCATAAATTTAAATACAAAGGATTTGCACTCAAGTTGTGCATTTTACCAAAATGCGCCAATTATTCCAAGAAAACCGCCAAATTTTTAACAAATATTTTGCTATTTTATCATTTTTATTTATAATTAATTAACAAAATGTCTTCAAAGAATATAGAAAAATTTTAATTACTATTTATTAAAAAAAATTTTAAATTTTAAATTTTAAAATCCGAAAAAAAATATAATTGAACCGACCTTGTTCGTCCAATCCATTGTGCAGTTGGTAGTTAGAAGAATATCACATCTGTAAAATTTCAGAAAAATTATCATATCAATTTAAGTAAATCTGAAGAATATTAAGAAAATTGATGAAAATTGACAGGATTTTTTTTTTCGATCAATATTTAGAGCGCACTCATCCTTTCATTTATATTTTTTTCTCAAATAGATTTCCAAACTTTTCCAGTTTTCCAGTGGTTAGAAATATGAAGCGTTACCTCCCATACCTAAACTAAATTCAATATATTTTTATTATAATTATTTACATATTCTTTACAGGGAGGTTAAGGGAATCTTACTTTACCAAGGGTCCCAATAACAATATTGGTCAAGGGAACCTGTGGTAAAGTACTATTTTTAATTTCCCGAAAAAGAAGTTGAACCCTAGTTTATCGTCATTACTGATAACAATGCAGAACGTGTAGTAATTTTGTATAAAATTAGTAGGTTTAAACAGATCATATTCAGCAAATATGCAACCAATCTGGAAACGATTTTATCTGCACAGGAGCCTAAGAATCTCAGGTTTGCTCATATTATAATATTTTTATTTGCATTTTGCATTTTTAACAGATATAATTGATAATAATATCACATACAGTCCGTTCAGTCCGCATTACGTCACCAGAGATTCTCAGGTTTCATCCTATACCCCCTTATATTTTTCCTTTACAGCCCCTTGAATGTTCCCTGTATTGTTGAGTAATATAACGTTCCTCAGTTGGGGGATACATAGGGTCAAAAAGCCAAATTAAAATCAAAATTAAAATCAAGAAAAGAATTGTTTTCCTTTTTTGGCATAACATCTTAGATAGTAAAGATTTAAAATAAAAATCCCTTCCATTGCATAAATATTTAACCATCCAAAAACCTGAAATAAAAAGTCTGTAAAATAATAATGTCCCTAGGGAAATCAAATACACCAACCTACCTAAGTTCTGTAACATCTAAACATCCAGATTCTGTGACAGGTTCACATTTTTTATTCATCTCGGTTCGGCATACATGTCGTGACTCCATTCGGTCCTCTCTAAAATCACAAAATTGTAAAAAAAAACTATTTTTGTAGCTGTTAGCATAATTCGGAAACTGGCCATTTTACAGTGTTAACCAGAAAATAGTAGGAAAAAAAGACGACATTGTAGAGGACCTGAAATCCCCGAAAGAGGATTATGAATTCCGCAAATCAGTTGTGTCGGACCCTGGAACCGGAGAAGACCTTCTCAACTTCCTCTCCTTTTATACACTCGTATTTAATATGTATTTATATCTAGAAGCAATAAATGTACTTCTAAAACATAATATAAAAGCTTAAATGTATTTGACGTGTTGTATTAAACCAAATGTTTTAATAGACTCTGATTTAGTGAAATAGTTCGTTTATAGTGCACTATTGCTATGTCTCATGCTCATAAGGATTTGTGTCCTGAAATCTCCACTAATATTGAAAAAAAAACTTGTGTTCATTCACTGAACGTTATCTTCTAATCTACTACAGTGAAACCCTTAATAACGAATACATCGAAAGAATTCATCAAATGTCGTATTCTTCACTTTCTGATTTAGTTTTTTAATGAAATGATTATATGGAACTCTTTATAACTGTTCCCGCATATTCATAGCTATTTATTTATTTTCGCAAATACTGAAATTTATGTAATATAGTATAAAACTCTTTGAAAAATTGTCAAGACGACATTTGATAAATTCTTCCGGTGTATTCGTTATTAAGGGTTTCACTGTAGAATTTTTTGTTCTGATATTACGGCTCTGATATTACGAAAAATAAACATTTCCGAGTTAGGCCTAGATACAAAGCTGTCCGTAATTTTGTTCGTAACAAACAGTTTTATCTTTCCGTTAACGGAATAAACAGTTCTATCTGTCCGTTAATGAAAATTTTCAGAGATTCTTTTTTTAAACTTTTATAATCGCAGCTAGGGAGGTTCATCTGTAAAATGTTTTCAATACTTATTTGAGAAAAACATGTCGTCTTCTTGAAATGATTTGCGGCATTTATTCCAGAACCTAATTTTACTTGTTCAAAAATCAAAATATTTAAATTTTTTAAGGATTCAAAGAAGGTATTTTATATTTGAAAAGATTTAAAACCGTTCACATTCTTAAAGTAACTATCAGACATATTTGTAAAATTTTGTCTTTTTCATTTTTTGGGACACCCTGTATATTACCAACCTTGGTCCATAATCTTCAAGAGGTTTACAGAAGTTCTTATGTTCCCCCAGCCCACTTTCAATACACAGACAGAGCATCTTAAAAAACTAATTGATCATTTAAACAAAATCGAAAAAGGTGTGAGGGCTGAGTATTTAAAAAATATAAGAATAGAGATAATAAAAACAAAAAGATTAAGAATCAAAAATGAGTGAAGAATATCTATTTATGTTATTATAATGGGTGTTATTAAGTGCGAACAAGTTTTTGCCCTGATTTTAATTTTTTCTAGTTTGTTTAAGATCAAAATGAAAGTATTTTCACATCTGACGTAGTGATGTGTGAAAATACTTTTTCGCACGCATGATACCCATTTCAATAACATATTTATTCGGTTTTACTCAAATTATTTATAAGCAGGGCGATAAAGTTGCTGTTTTAGGATGATTAAGTAACTTTATCACCCTACAATGAGACAAAATAGGTATGAAATTTGAAATTTAAATAGCAGGGTGAAAAGGTTACTTTTTCGCCCAGTTGTAGGGAGATAAAGTCACTTAATCACCCTACAATTGGAAATATTAGGTGTGATAAATTAAATCCAAATTGAATAAAATATTAAAAACGAGAAAAAAAAAGTTGAGTAATATTTCCCTTAATATTTCGTCCATTATTGCTTTAAGAAAAAAAACTGCAAAAGATATACACGAAGAAGAGAGGATAGAGGAAAAGGACGAACTCTATTTTCCAAAATTAAGATAAATGTTTCTTAAGACCGTAATTATTTGTTCAACAATTTGTTTCAATATTTCATGAATTGTTGGCCTCGTTTAACTCATTAAAACAGCCTTAATTACCTATAATTAGGAATAACAAGTGTATCTAAAAATTCACATTATCTTAAATCATGGTAGAATGAAATCTTAAATGCGTTAAATCATAATTCCTTGTTTTGAAAAGCTATTGTGAAGAACAACAAGTTTTGAATTTCTTTATACTCAATAATCAACTAAATAGATTTCTGCTTTTTTCAAACTTTTTAATCCAGTAAATGGTCCTTTTTTCTCAATGATGAATTATCTGTTTAAAAGTTTGGTAGTTTTTCGTATAACAAGTACGTACTTTGATTTTTTTAAATCGGTATGAAGAATGTTTAAGGTTTGAAACTTTTTAAAGCAATTTATTAAATTTTGAGTGGATGGTTTCCCGCATTTGTACTCTTGCTTTTTAGATCCAATATATGTATATATATATATATTAGAAAAGAAGTTGAAAGTTAAGAGTTTAAGTATATATTATATTTATATTGATGATCACAGACAGAGAAGATTTATGGTTGGTCGAAGTTGAACACTTTTGTCCGAAAAAAATGTTAGAATCTATTAATTTGAAAATGCGCCGACTTATGACAGAAAAACTGCGAAAAGTTGAGAACTTAAAGATGGCAACTTTTAGTTCAAAGTGCAATTGTTAAAAGGGAAAAGGGCACGAGGCGCCCAGAAAGCTTAGTCAAATAAAATGTTTCTTATTTACACCGAGTTTAAGAATTGACTTGTTATCCCGGCAAAAGCATGATTTGGAGAATTTCGTAGATTTAAAAAAATAAAATGTTTAGAAATTTGATTCGTAAAATAAAAATTTAAAACAACTGCTTCGTCTAAGTATTGGACTCTTCATCTTGGCCAAAAAAATATAATTTTTAAGAATTCTAACATTTTTATCGGAAAAGTGTTTAACAAATCTTAAAAGTGCTTACCACAAGTCCTAAGTAAAAAAACTCCATATTGGGATGTTACTTTTAGAATGAATAGTTCAAAGATATATTTCTAACTGGTGGTCAACGCTATGATGATATCACACTACAACAGCTTCTGAGTACGCTCATTTCATACGCTTATTTACGCAGGTTTAAGTAAATATTGACTCCTGTGTCTGTCCTTGTACGCAAAATTTAAACTAGACAAAAAAACTACATCTTAAAATTTTGCCTGTAAAATTGCGATTGATTCAAAATATATTAAAATGCTTCAATTTTGTATTATAAGAAAAATGATGAACCCTGAAAAATTCCTCCTACGCATTTTCTTAGGTTGGTCCACTATTTTTACAGTTATCAATAATAAATTCTTCTTTTGTCCAATTTAAAATTCTTCAAGGATGTTTAGCCGGATTTACGTAAATCATGTTTTACTTTTTTAGGAACTTGTCCAAAGACAATAAAAGTTGCATGATCCAACCCGGTACAACATGTGTTGTACATGCCGAGCCGGTACAACATGTAATGTACATGCTGTGCCGGTACACAACATGTATTGTACATGCCGAGCTGGTACAACATGATATTGTATATGCCGAGCCAGTGCAACATGTATTGTACATGCCGAGCCAGTACAACATGTATTGTACATGCCGAGCCAGTACAACATGTATTGTACATGCCGAACTAGTACAATATGTATTGTACATGCTGAACGGTGCACAACATGTATTGTACATGCCGAGCCGGTACACAACATGTATTTTACATGCCGAACCGGTACAAAACATGTATTTACATGCCGAGCTGGTACAACATGTATTGTACATCACGAACTGTCCAGTCAGCCTACCAATTGTAGAGTAGTTTTCAGAAATTAGATAAATTTTTTTTGGAAATTTTTGCATGAATGAATTATTAACAGGATGATGCTGAGCTAGGATTGATACAAATCGTCTGAACATCAAAATCTTTAAAAGGATTGTAAGCGTAATTTTAAGCGACCCTCCATGCAAAAATGGCAATGCCTGATTCAGAAGGTATCCTTGAAACCTTAATCTGGCCAATCATGTCAGTGTAATATTTTGTTGTTTTTCTATGTTTAAAATTGTTTTCCTGCGGTAGAAATGCGCAAGTAACTTTTCTTATATGATAACCCACAGTTGAAAATAATCAGTTTTCAAAAATCATGAACGTTGATATGTAATGTATACATGAGCAGACAACTTTTTATGTGTACCGTTGTCGGGGATCAGGCATTGGCATTGG